CGCGATTAGTCAGATACAGCATACCTTATTATACCCGATACGATCTTGGGCGTGATCAATGTTTTTCACCACAACAGAAAACATACTTTCAGTTTTCTTACATTGTTGTTTATGAGTGTAGATTGAATAACGAATAAATTGCGTAATGTGTTGCATATAGCGTGGTCAGTGGTATATTAAACATTGAAATGTGTGGTGTTTGATTTTTGATTGTGAGTTTGAAACGGTTACTGAAAAAGTTAACCTGTTCTGCTTGTCTTGTTTTGCGTACAAGAAGTGTTGTACATATGTATATACTAATTTTGAAACCAAACTTCGAAAATCAACAATATGTGATGATCTTCTCATTTGACCTTCAAAAGCAGGTCTTAACACGTGACCGGTATCAACACATGACCTTAAGTGACATTTAAATATGACCTTCATTGCATGACCTGATATATAGTTGACATTACAGAATCTAATTGCTCTATCAACACTGTGCTGTTATTCCTGACATAAATGCTATGTGAATTGGTTGCCATGGAAACAATACTTACATCCAGTTCGGGAAATAGAGAACCAAGCGATTCGAACAACGGTAGTAAAACAAATCTGATGAAGCCAGTCTGCGATGATGGCTTCGTTACTTTTTCCCGATCCATGAATGGGGCCACCGGCAAGCCCTCAAGTTTCTCAAGATCACTCTGGAATTTTTAAAAGAACAATCAAAGAACAATCAACATCAGAAAGCAAGCTTTATAAATGTCACTGCTTTCAATATATGGCGGTCTACGAGAAGACAACAGAGAGACGTCACTGCTGAAAACTTATGGTCCCTACCTGGTTAAAGAATTCTTGTAGAAGACAGTCCAGCCATGGTTCTGAAACATCCATCGGCCGAGCTTCATTAGAAATATCGGATACTTTTATAAGAATCATCATTAACTGTAAAAAAATAAATTAATAAATAAATAAATAAACAAACAAACGAACTTACAAATAAATAAATGAATAAATAAACAAACGAACTTACAAATAAATAAATGAATAAACAAACAAATAAATAAATAAATAAATAAATGTACTCGTATTTGTCATCATATGACGTAGCCTATACTAGAAGTCAATGCAAGTAAATTTTTGTTGATTTTGGCATTTTGATGACTGTGTATGTATAATTCAAATAATTGAAAATTTGACGACTGTAAAAAAAAAAATGAATACATTTATACTTTGCTGAGAATCACCAGTGTCTGAAATGTTTCACAGGATTATACTGACATACCGTGTCTTTCTGGTCTTTATTCGTGAAATCAAATCCATCTACTAAACCTTTGAACTTGTTTAGTATCTCATTGTGCTTCGCCATGTCGGTTGCTAGGATACATCTTATCATGCTTTCTCGTATCCTTTTGTATTCACTCGGAGAAACATTATTGAAAATGTTTAGTTCCGGCTGAAACGAAAAATAAAATTTAGCAATGTTTGATTCCCACTAATGTGATGCATTTCGACTGCCATCGCAATTTACAGTTTCCATTCCCAGAGAAAAAGATTCCAGCAAAAAAAGTGAATGTACATATATGCTATCAAAAGCAGTACGTCATATCAGGATCATTATCAACGCTTTAAATGCCTAATGCATAGTTTTTTCAAGCTATTTAACCCTTTGTAACACGCCCGAGACACCAATTGATCTAGCGTAGATATATTTCATGGAATAAAACTCACCTTTTCTAGCACTTCAAATGCACAAGCGCAATGATGGTTCTCTAGCGGTGAAATATCATTGTACCTCAACGCAAGCTCTGTTCTAGCATTCACCTATGAGGATGAACAGAAAACATTGATTTCCAACATCAGAATTACAAAAATCAAAACGCACATTACTTTTTTTTTTTTAAATCTTTTCAAAAATTTTGAACCAGAAACATATCTAATGGGTAATTATGTACATTTAAATGAAAATAAACAGAGAATTATATAAAATTACGGAAATAATTGTCAAATAGAGCATTAACATTAAGGAAAAAAGAATAATCACACTGTGATAGTGTTTGCAGAGACATGGTGACTCTCCGTATGATAAAAATTTAATAATTTTGCGAATTCCCCAGACTTGCAATAGTTCAGAAAAATGCGTGTCTCATGAAATTAAATCCATTTACAGAATGATGACTGAAAGCCGAATAATTAAATAGTAAATTGACTTTTCCAATAAATCACGCCCTCTAACTTCTGCGTCATAAAAGGATGTACAGGATGCCATTCACACCGATAAATTTTTGATATATGTGGTTGTCTGTCAATAAAAATATTGTTTATTTTTTTAAATGTGAATACCTATTATAAAGTATGCCATTATATCATATTATAATGACCTGAGGTGTGTATAAGCATTATATACACCTACCTGATATGCATTATTATAACCCGGATGATCTAAATCATGACAAATCGCCGACGTAATAAGCGCCATTGTGTCAAGGTCACCAATTTTGTCACAAAGATTAACAAGCCATGACATTCCATACATCTATAGAAAAAAAAAAAAAATGTTAAAAACTTTTCAATCATTGTATTTATTCATCATAAATGTGATTCATTGTCTTCAGTATTATGGTGACACAAAATACGATAAATCATCGGTAAACCAGAGTAGGCACAAATACAGTTATTACAAAAAAAACACAATTTAAAATGTATACGAAACACCAGCGAATACCGTGCATTTGTTTTTTCTGTAAAAACAATTTTTTAAGAAATGATATTTCCTGTGACACAGGGGCGTAAGCAAATTCAAAAACACAAAATGCACATATCGCACATGCTTTGCAAGTATGCAAAGAAACAAGTAACAAAATCAGTTTTTTTCACAGACTCACTCAATTGCTTTAGTATTCTTCTGGTTTGTAGTCATATCATATTTATTAAATCTTCATTTCATGTCACATAAGTTCATAATCTCATCATATGAATCTTTTGATGGTTTTATACTCGAAAGAAAATAAAACCGTGTTTTGACTTACCATTTGAGCAACACAAAAGCAGTGTTTGAAATTATGGAATGGCACATTGTTGTAATGTTTATAAACTTCAAAAAGAAAATTCTGTAATACTGGCATCTGAATAAAAAGAAAAAAAAAATTATATGTTAATTCATAGTGGATAACTGATTATATTTCCAATATTTCAGTGTATTTTTACAAAAAAAAACTGGTTTCACAGATACAAATATTTTTCTCATTTGCTGAAGTCACGTGGATGGCATCAAGTTTTAGTTAGAAACAACACGGATATGTCACTCAAAACAAAACACACAGATTTTCCACCTTCAAGTTTTGGCAAAAAACAGCCAGTTTTACTGTGACCCTTTTCATAAATACAGCACCCTCACAGTTTTTTGTGGGAGAGGAACTGTTGGTTTGCTTCATGTACAGGTATAGGAAACTCTTTCAACGGTAAGAAACACAATTTTTTTTTTTTTTCAATATTTTTCAAATCCACAGGTCATCAGTAAACAAACCTTGTGACTGCGACTGTTGATTGGCTTATTATTGGTACTAGGACTTCATGCTATATCCCAATACAAGATGCATTAAAAAAGAAAGAATCAAGGAAAAGCATTACTGCCACAGAGGGCTCCCTTAAACTTACCTCAATGTTGAATTTTTCAACAAACTCTAAATCTATATACATTTGTTGTAAAAGAACCAACATTTCAGCATCTTCCCACTGCCAATTGTCAAATGTAGGTTTCCTGAGATACAGTTTGACATCTTCTGACATTTCAACATTGCTATGGCAACACAAAAAATAAGAGTTTATCATTACTTTCCCAATAATGATAAATAATCACGTTACAAAGTCAAATAAATAGAAAATTAATTAAAATTTGATTTAATAAAGTTTTACCTCATTTTTGTAAACTTTTCCCAGACGCGTCTGTGTTCAGCTTCTGTGTTTTTCTTTTTGTTTTGGTAAAATGGAGGTGAGTTTTCTGTGACTACATCTTTAAAAAGACCCAGCCAGCTAAGGTGTTCCACACACTGAAAGCATAACAGATAAACAATCTATTTAATCTCACAATATTTTCTCTTACGTTGATGTCAACAACATGAGTGATTATCATCGGAGTTCTGTATCAATCTTTTTGGCTTTGTTTTGTCAGTTTTGTATTACCGTGGCTGTAATCACTCCTGTCTGCTCACATCGATCAAAAAGAAAAAAAATTGTCAAATACGAAACATCAATGTGTACACCTAGTATGCTAATGTATTGATGCGACGATGTTCTGTTTTACATAAAAGCATTGCGTACACTTGTGGCTATTATGCCTGTTTGTGATATTTTCTCCAATGTGCTGAAAATTTGTTTTTTTCAATACATTTTTTTTCGCTTGCCAACATGAACCATATCCACTGTACATAAATGGACCTAAGCATGTACAATGAAAACAAGTTTGACAATTTGTGAAGTCAAAAGATCTAATAAATATTTTCAATCTGTGTTACATCACACTATGGAGATATACACATTATGTAATAATTAGAGTTTATTAAAATGGAAAACACTATAAACACCTACAGTACAGTCCGAGTATAACTTAACTTCCAAGCTATCAGATGAATTCGCTTTATTATTAAAACTTGTAATTTTGAAAGTGAGTATCATTGTCATTAATAATTTTATCTTCTTTCTTTGCGGTATTAACCTCTGTTATGAACACAAGACATTTTTAAGCAGAGTACTCTGTACAATGTAGAAATGCGATAGCTTTAAGCTGCTTTGCTGCTTTCAAAACTATCTAAATGTTACCAATAGGAGTATGGCTGAATAGGTTAAATGTTTTGGGATAATTAATTTTTTTTTTTTTAATTTGAGTACAGTAGTAGTAACCCTTCTTATCAAGTTTTTATATTACTGTCTATGAAGAGTCTAATTTAGACTCGTATTTCGGCCACTGGGATTTTTTGCTAGACTTATTCTCAAAAGACAAGCGTATAGTATTAATATCACATGATCTGCCAACTGATACTTATACCTTTGAGAACTAGTGTAATCCAACATCCCATGGGTCAAGGTACTCCTCCAATGGAGTTTTGAGTTCCCTGGATGTGTTCCATGGTTGCCAGGTTACTGAATTCGCACACAACAGAAAGAGGGCCTGATTTTAAACCGGTTGCAAATGAGTCTCTTTGCATCATTTTTTTGTAAGTAGAATGCTTGTATTTTGTACCTGTGAATTATTTTACAAAGATACGTACGGATATCATTGGCTATAAAAGATATTTTGTTCATAATCATTTTGAATGTAAAACATGTTTTCCATATATTTGTTGTACACGTTCAAAATTAATGTTGGATGTCTACAATCCTCAAGGGCGAACATCCGGGCATTTTCTACCGCCTGGCAACCCTCGCGGTGAAAACAAAGATGAAAAACTCACAGAAAACAGTACTTTGCGATGGTTGTTGAGTCCCCTGAACAAGATCAGCCCTACATGCGTAACATATATGAATTTGGTTGTTCAGGATTACCGTAAAATTCCTAATTGAGGCCGCGGCTTTAATTAAAATTCATTTTTTCAATGGACGAATTCAGATGCGTGAAGTCTTGGTGCGGCTTTAATTAGAGCATTCACTTCGGTAACAGTGAGAATTTTTTTTCAGAAAACAAAGGCCAGAAGGGATAATGATATGCTAATGAGATGCACGACACTTGATTGCAACTTTGTTGCGATTCTAAGGCACTTTCGGATTTTTACACACAGACAAACTTGTACACAAACTTGTAATGTATACTACAATCTCTTGAATAGACTAATTCGTTAGCACCGGTCACTCTTTTAGTAACCGTGCATGTTCGACTTCCGGCAGAGTGACTGTACATTCCATTTTTAATCTAGACATCGGGGAAATTAAAATAAAAAAAGTCAATCAAAAAAAAATGTTCGCATGATAACGAAAAAAATACTCAGTATATTATTTAATGTAATATATATTTATTTTCTTATTTTTTTTGATAACGAAAAGTAAATTCTAAAAGAAGTAAAAACAAAAACGAATGCATTCTTAGTAGCAAATGATCACGGTAATGGTCATGCTGCGTTTCACACAAGTGAATAACTTACTTGTTTTCGAAGTGTTACAATTGCTGATTATTAATCAGTCGTGATTACAATAATGTACAAAAAATAAATTCGTTGAATTGTTGTGATAATTCAACTTAGTTTCACCACAAGCGAATGATTTTGGTCACATATAAATGCTCGACCCGATACGATATCTGCCATGTTAGTTAAAACATCTTTAGTGACTTAGACGATAGGTCAAGTCGCTAATTAACCAATCGAAACGCTGGATGGTGCCAACGTGATTAAATTACCATAGCTCATTTAAATATGTTGATGTAGTTCAGTGACCTCATGGTAAACGAAACACGGAAGAGATTTACCGTTGTTGTAGTGCTATCGTTGGCTTTGATTTTGATGGGAAAACGGCATGATTAGTTGTTTTCGAAAGATAAGCTGAGCATTGAAGAAGAATTTAACACTTTTGAAGATAATAACAGCTCATTGTCGAAACGCAGTTTACCCAGTCACGTTACCCACAATAAACCTGTATTCTGGAATAAGCGTCAATGACTACGGAAAACCTTAATTAGACTCTAATTTAAGCGTCAGGAATCATTGAAATGTTCGAAAAATTATGCCTTAATTTAAAATTAAATGGTATATCTTTTTCTGAAATATGTGGTGGCTGTTTAGTTTGTGAAAATTTGGGGTGCGGCTTATATTGCAGACTTTTCCCTGGAATCGAAACTTGTCAATTTCAACATTAAACAATGTCTCAAGTTAGGGGTGCGGCTTCTATTAAAGCTGCGGCCTCAAATATGATTTTTACGGTACTTCAAAGTTGAGTTTGTGTTGTTTTCTTGAATTTTCACCGGCTCGACCGGCGTTCCACAGCAGCGCGCACAAAGCCCATAGAAATACGTGGTAGAGTGGTGCGCGTCTTAGCAACGTAGAACGTCCGTGACGTAGCTCCCCCCCCCCCCCCGAGGATACAGAATCTAACACTGAAGCTGGTGTTGTAAAATAACTGCCTAATACTGTGTATTTCTGCTGACCGGAAGTGAATCTACGATTAGAGCCGAACTACACCTGCATAGTACCTAAGCAACCAGG